GTGAATGACAACGCCCCAGCCTTCCAGCAATCCAGTTACAGGATCAGCGTGTTGGAGAGTGCACCAGCGGGCATGGTGCTCATCCAGCTCAATGCCTCTGACCCAGACCTGGGACCTAGTGGTAACGTCACCTTTTCTTTCAGTGGTCACACCCCTGATCGTGTGAGAAACCTCTTTAGCCTTCATCCCACGACTGGAAAGCTTACCCTTCAGGGGCCTCTAGACTTTGAGAGTGAGAATTACTATGAATTTGATGTGAGGGCTCGCGATGGGGGTTCTCCAGCCATGGAGCAACACTGCAGCCTTAGGGTGGATCTCCTAGATGTAAATGACAATGCCCCCCACATCACAGTGACCTCAGAGCTGGGAACTCTACCAGAGAGTGCAGAACCTGGCACTGTGGTGGCACTCATCAGTGTGCAGGACCCTGACTCTGGGTCAAATGGAGATGTGAGCCTCCGCATTCCTGACCACTTACCCTTTGCCCTCAAGTCTGCCTTCAGGAACCAGTTCTCCCTGGTGACAGCTGGACCCTTGGACCGAGAGGCTAGGTCGAGTTATGACATCATGGTTACTGCTTCTGATGCTGGGAACCCTCCCCTGAGTACTCACAGGACTATTTTCCTCAATATTTCAGATGTGAATGATAACCCACCCTCATTCTTCCAGAGGTCACATGAGGTGTTCGTTCCTGAGAACAATCGCCCAGGGGACCTGCTCTGCTCCCTTGCAGCCTCTGATCCCGACTCTGGCTTAAATGCACTAATCTCATACTCTCTCTTAGAGCCCAGAAATAGAGATGTGTCAGCTTCTTCCTTCATTTCTTTGAACCCCCAGACAGGAGCTGTTCATGCTACTAGGTCATTTGACTATGAACAAACACAAACACTGCAGTTTGAGGTACAGGCCAGGGACAGAGGCAGCCCACCTCTCAGCAGCACTGTGACAGTGCGCCTGTTTGTGCTGGACCTCAATGACAATGCCCCAGCTGTGCTACGCCCTAGGGCCAGACCCGGTTCCTTATGTCCCCAAGCATTGCCTCCATCAGTTGGTGCTGGCCACCTAGTCACAAAGGTGACAGCTGTGGACTTGGATTCAGGTTACAATGCTTGGGTTTCCTATCAGCTCTTGGAGGCCCCAGATCCCAGTCTCTTTGCAGTCTCCAGATATGCAGGGGAAGTCCGGACAGCTGTTCCCATCCCAGCTGATCTCCCCCCTCAGAAGCTGGTCATTGTGGTGAAGGACAGTGGTACCCCACCACTCTCTACCTCTGTTACTCTCCTGGTGTCTTTAGAGGAAGACACTCATCCAGTTGTCCCCGATCTTCGAGAATCTTCAGCTCCCAGGGAAGGAGAATCCCGCCTAACCCTCTATTTGGCTGTGTCCTTAGTGGCAATCTGCTTTGTCTCCTTTGGTTCTTTTGTGGCACTGCTCTCTAAGTGTCTTCGTGGGGCTGCCTGTGGAGTGACATGCTTTCCTGCTGGCACCTGTGCCTGTCTCACCAGATCTCGGAGGAGGGAGGGGCTTCCTCCTTCCAATGGGATCCTCCGAATCCAGCTAGGGTCGGAAGATCCTATCAAGTTTGTGGATGTGGGAGGCCACTCTCATGGCTGTACACCATTGGCTTCCGCACCCACTCGGAGTGACAGCTTCATGATGGTGAAGTCACCCAGTGCACCTATGGCAGGGGAGCCTGTGCGCCCAAGCTGTCCACCCTCTGATCTTCTCTATGGGCTAGAGGTGAGACCTTTACAGGCTCAGCCAATGCTTGGGGGTTATTGTGATCCAGACATATGGCTGGGCCAAGTGCCAGAGAGTACTGGCCTCCCTGGAAGAGCCCATAGTGGCTACATTGTAAATGCTATGTTCTACAAGTGTTTTCTGAATTGACTGATGATTAGAACTTGGGGTGAGTAATGCACATATATTAGAACTTGGGGTGCATAGTGCCCACATTTGAGAGTAAGAAATAAATTAACTAGTTATCAATAACCAAGATGTTGTAGAAGCATGCCAATAGAACTTAGGAGATCAAAGTATCATGCACAGGTTCGGGCTGGGCCAGGAAATCACCTAACCCTAAGTACTTCTTCCTCTGTTCTTTCTGAATGGGAGGGTTGTGTGCTGGAGAATGTTAACTCTGTTACCATTTCCAATTGGTTTGGTGGTAGACTAAAAATCTTTGCCCCTTTGTCTAGTGTTCTCTAGCCCAATGTGGGCTGTGGATGTACCAAGGGAGGAGAACGGTGCAGACCAAAGTGACAGCAGAGATCCTTCTCTGGGACTCCTGCTATTCCCCTCCCCCGACCCCCATGGTGAGCTAGATGCAGTAAACAGGGAACAGGGTGGGGGGTGGGGTGCGTCTGTTACCTCCTGGGGAGAAGCAGTAGGTAAAGTCCCTCAATGTCAGAAAATTGATTCGTGGTTAAGGAATTCACAGAGATGGACATTCTGGAAATCTCTAGGGAGGGTTTGAATTCAGTGAAACTATAAAGCCTAGAGGCCATTTTTAGCCTCTGGTCACCCTCCAGGGTCACCTAGATCAGCCTGGAAGTGTTCCCTTTCCTATCAGCTATGGGGCTCTGCTCACACTCTTGAGTTTGGGGCCTGGGAAAGCTAACCTCTTTAATCATCAGCAGGCATTTCTGGGGAGCAGGGCAAGACTTTAGAAGGTTCTGACAAAGCTTTAGGAGTATTTAGGGGTGGTGTGGCAGGGGACGAAGGACGGAGGGACACCACGTGGACTTTACATCTCCACAAGGTTCGGGCAAAACAGTAGAAGCTTGTGAAGTCATGCAGGAAGTTGGTGGGACAGAACACTAAGGAGTCTTGTGCCATTTTAATCTTCCCCGTTGAGCGCTGTCTGAGCCACCAAACTTCACTGCCAAGGGGGCTGAATCAACCTGCCGCCCGAATGAGTGGGGAGGTAGGAGGCTTCCGTGACAGATTTTTCAGTGACTGTTCCCAAGGTTTCCAGGACCGAGGAGACTTCATAATTGGTTGAGAGCAGACAGACTTTTTGGCCAATCAAACTTAGAGCTGAGGTGGGAGATCTGCTCTTCCTGCCTGCCTCTCCTCCCCCTCCTCCAGTTCCCTAGCTCCACTTACATCTAGCTCCCCTCCCCCGCCCACCCCCGCCGGTTGGTGACTAAGACAGGCTGCAGGCAGGCAAAGCTCAGAGCAGGTTTTAAGAGGCTGGAAGGAGACATAAGAGACTTCAGCTCCTGCATTCCAAGCGCTTGGTTTACCTTGGAGACAGGACAGCACAGTATTCTCCAAGAAAGGACTTCTGGGTCACGGGGTCTATGGCATCCCCACAGCTCGCGGGGAAATGGCAAGTGCTGTCTATGTTGTCCTTGTGCTGCTGTGGCTGGGTGTCTGGGCAGCTTTGTTATTCAGTGGTGGAGGAATCTGAGCCGGGGACTTTGGTGGGAAATGTTGCTCAGGATCTGGGCTTAAAGGTGACAGATCTGTTGAGTCGCAGGCTGCGATTGGGCTCTGAGGAGAATGGGCGCTATTTTTCCCTGAGCTTGACGAGTGGTGCTTTGGCAGTGAATCTAAAGATTGACCGAGAGAGCCTGTGTGGAGCCAGCAGTAGCTGCCTGCTGCCTGTACAGGTGGTGACCGAACACCCCCTGGAGCTCATCCGTGTAGAGGTAGAGGTCCTGGATCTGAATGACAACTCTCCTAGCTTTGCCACTCCTGAGAGAGAGATGCGAATCTCAGAATCTGCTGCACCAGGGGCCAGATTCCCACTGGATAGTGCTCAAGATCCAGATGTGGGCACCAACACTGTGAGCTTTTATACTCTAACCCCCAACAGTCACTTCTCTCTGAATGTGAAGACCCTGAAAGATGGCAAGCTATTCCCAGAGCTAGTGCTAGAGCAGCAGCTAGACCGTGAAGCCCAGGCAAGACATCAGCTGGTGCTCACTGCTATGGATGGGGGAACCCCAGCCCGCTCAGGGACCAGCCTTATCTCTGTCATTGTGCTGGACATCAATGATAATGCTCCAGCCTTCCAGTCCTCAGTTCTACGTGTGGGACTCCCAGAGAACACACCCCCAGGGACACTGCTGCTCCGTCTCAATGCCACTGATCCAGATGAGGGTACCAATGGCCAACTAGACTACTCTTTTGGAGACCATACATCTGAAGCAGTAAAAAATCTCTTTGGCTTGGATCCTAGCAGTGGAGCAATCCATGTGTTGGGTCCAGTAGATTTTGAGGAGTCAAATTTCTATGAAATTCATGCAAGAGCCCGAGATCAGGGACAGCCGGCCATGGAGGGCCACTGTGTGATTCAAGTGGATGTAGGGGATGCTAATGACAATCCCCCTGAGGTGCTACTGGCATCTTTGGTCAACCCTGTGCTAGAGAGCACACCAGTGGGCACAGTAGTGGGGTTGTTTAATGTGCGGGATCGAGACTCGGGTAGAAATGGCGAGGTGAACCTGGATATATCTCCAGACCTGCCATTTCAGATCAAACCTTCTGAAAACCACTACTCACTGCTCACCAGCCAGCCTTTGGACCGAGAAGCCACACCCCATTATATCATCGACCTGCTGGCCAGTGATGCTGGATCACCTCCCCTACACACACATCTCACCATCAGGCTGAACATTTCAGACGCTAATGACAACGCACCCCACTTCACCCATCAGCTCTACACTGCTTATATCCCAGAAAATCGGCCACCAGGCTCTCTCCTCTGCACTGTGGCTGCCTCGGATCCAGACATGGGGGATAATGCCCGCCTCGCCTACTCTATTGTAGGAAGTCAAATTCAGGGAGCCCCAGCCTCCTCCTTTGTGTATGTCAACCCTGAGGATGGACGAGTCTTTGCCCAGCGGACCTTTGACTATGAATTGCTCCAGATGCTGCAAATTGTAGTGGGGGTTCGAGATTCTGGCTCTCCCCCATTGCATGCTAACACATCCCTCCATGTGTTTGTCCTTGACCAGAACGATAATGCCCCCACTGTGCTGCACCCAAGACCTGGCAGGGAGCTCTCAGCCCCTCAACGTCTCCCTCGCTCTGCTCCTCCTGGTTCTTTGGTCACCAAGGTGACAGCTGTGGATGCTGATGCAGGCCACAATGCATGGCTCTCTTACTCTCTGTTACCACAGTCCACAGCCCCTGGACTGTTCCTTGTGTCTGCACACACTGGTGAGGTGCGCACTGCCCGGGCCTTATTGGAGGAAGACTCTGATACTCAACAGGTGGTGGTCCTGGTGAGGGACAATGGTGACCCTTCACTGTCCTCCACAGCAACAGTACTGTTGGTTCTGGAGGATGAGGACGCTGAGGAAATGCCTAAATCCAGTGTCTTCCTCACACACCCTCCTGAGCGGTCAGACCTCACCCTTTACCTTATTGTGGCTTTAGCTGCTGTCAGCCTCTTATCCTTAGTTACCTTCACTTTCATGTCAGCTAAGTGTCTGAAGGGACATGAAGATGGTGACCGGGGTGGGGGTCAGTGCTGTAGGGGCCAGGAGCCACCCTCCAGGGAGTTCTATAAGCAGTCCAGCCCCAACCTGCAGGTGAGCTCCGATGGCACACTAAAGTATATGGAGGTGACCCTGCGGCCCACAGACTCGCAGAGCCATTGCTACAGGACGTGCTTTTCACCAGCCTCCGACGGAAGTGACTTCACTTTCCTCAGGCCCCTCAGCGTTCAGCAGCCCTCAGCCCTGGCTCTGGAAGCGGAGGCCTTGCGTTCCTGCTCTAGTACGCTGAGGGAGCGGAGCCAGGGGAGGGCTGGATGGGTGCTCCATGCACCCCTGGGGGGGGGGGGTCACATCGAAGAAACTGCCAGGATCCACCTAAGGGATTTTTTTTTTTTTATCTTGCACTCTTTGTATTTGAGCTGGCTGTATCTGATCGTGGACAATCAAGGGACCGAGTCAGAGATGGGGTCCTGAGCATCCAGGGGTGGTGGCATATATGGGCCAGGGGAAGTAAGCTCAATTCCTGTCCTGCATACAGAAAAGGGTGGCTCCCCGCACCGCTGCTGTTGAATTCACAGTGATCTGGCAGATCGATGTTGGGGTCCTGCGTGGGGGTCCCCACAGACCCACGCTGCCAGCCTTCTGGGCGCAGGCTCCACTGCAGTCTGCCACTCTTGAAGTTTCCTCCTGGGTTTCTCCCTCCTTTTCCAGCTGCCGTGACTTTGTCCTTAACTTTAACTCTACTTATTCCAGCTCCAGCCAACCACAGTGGCCCAGGTGTTCAGCTAGGGCTGGCTGGTGTGCTTGGGGCTCATCTTACCCTCCCTAACTCTCCCCCTGGGACACCCTGAAAGGTGCTTGCAGTTGACTGATACCTGGTGAGGTTCCCAGGTCGCTCCTGCCCAGGATCAAGCCAGGACTCAGGAGTTTCTCCCAAAGCCTCCCATCATGCCCGCCCCCCCCCCCCGAGGACAGGGTGGCATCACTAATGTCCCAAGCTGAGTGCTGAGTCTGATTTCCACAAAATCAGAAGTGACCCTCAAGGGTCGGGCCAGGTGGAACCTGCTAGCCCTAGTTTTGGCTGGGCCTGGGGCTCCATACCCAGTCCCTCACTATCAGCCCCTCTTGTAAGGCAGGACCTCGGTTGGCCAATAAACAGTCCTAGTGCCCTGGTGGTAACAGCAACCCTTTCCTCCCCCTGCAACTGGGAGTCTGGAGAGACCCTGCTCTGGGGATTCAAAACCAGGTTTTGGGTCTGTCATAAATGTGCTCAGAGATCTAGGGTTAGGATTTGGGGAGAATGATCAGAGTGCCTGAGACTCTTAGCAAATCTGCCCTCCTCTGACTGATGGAAAACCACAACCTGAGGTAGCCCTCATATTCGGGGAAAACAGACATGGTGTGAAAGCATGTCGCCACAAACTCAGAAGCTGCCTCTGCTGTACAGAGTTTATATTTTTTAAAACATCTCCAGAATCTTCTGATAGTTGATTGAAAGAGCCCTAACTCACACCTCCTTAGAGACAGTGGCACTCAGGAGGCAGAGACAGGAGGATTTCTGTGAGTTTTACTGATCTACAGAGCAAGTCCCAGGTCAGCCAGGGCTGCACAAAGAGACCCTGTCTTGAAAAATAAAACAAAATAGAAACATATTTCCTTTGCCCCTCCTACGTTCCTGGATCCTTATTAACCTAATAGTAGTTACTTTCACAGAGGTCAAGTAAGTCGCTCAAATTCAGAATAAATGATGATAAAGAGTCTAACCCAGGTCTGTTTAACTTCAGTGTGTGCTTTGAATAGCTTGGCACTTGGACTTTGTAAAGCTGGACAAGAGATGGTTGGCATTTTATAGGGTGAGACAGGATGGAGTTCCTTTCCTCCCTAGGACATCAACTGTGGAAGAAAGTTTTGGGGGCTCCCCTATCTCAGAAGCACTCACTGAGCAAACCTGTTCCTGTGCTTTTCATATGAGTATAGACTTTTGCTAGACTTCCTGGGAGTTCACAATCCTGCATCCTTGTGTACATTCTACTGTCAAAGGGTACATTAGCTAAGGGTCTGCACCCTTCTCCATGGCAGCCCCAGGATGGTTCTCATGGCACCCCATGCATTCTTAGGATCCAGGTTCCACTTGTGAATCTCAGTGTGAGTCATTGGCAAGTCCTGGGTCTTCCTTCTCCCCAGTGTAATATGAGATGCTCACACTCTATTCTCCTGGGAGCCTGTGTGAGAATTAATTACCAGCACATCCCAGGAACTGGTAAAGACTTGACTGCAGGAGAATGTGTGGTGGGATACCACACCCCCTGGACAGACCTGAGGAACTTGGAAATTAAGTGATGGCTGGCAGAGCCCTGCACATGGAGCTGAAGACTTACTTGGCTCTGCTTGGAGACCATAGAATGTGGTCCTTCTGGACTTCATCCCAGCCATTTTCCCTGACTTGGACAGAGCTGCCTTGTTCTTAGTCACAGGCCATTGTGTGGCGTGAAGTTCTGGGGTTGAGAGGCATCCTGGGGCTTGGATGCCCTGTAAAGGCCCAGGCTGGCATGACTCCCAAATTAATAATGTATTTAGCTGTGGGAAGAGGTCTTTGAGAGAGCGAGAGCCTGGAGGAGGTGTTCCTCTGAATGTGTCATTGCACAACTTGGCACGAAAAGGGTTACCCAGAGCAGCAGCCATCTTGCTACAGCCGATGCTTTGTTCCCAGCTGAGGAGCTGAATGGCTCCTTTCTAGGGCTGGGGGATTTTATCTAAAAGCCTCTCTGCTTTTTGAGGAGGGGGCACTTTCCTGCAGTCTTTCCCCAGGTCCACAGAGGAAACTTTAGTTCTTGAATTTTGGCTCAGAAGTTCTGAGTCTAGGACAAGAAAAAGGGAGCCATTTCTTCAGCAAAGAAATCTGTGCTTGTTCACAGATGAAATATTCTGTTAGTCTCTGGGTTGGTTCTCTCCACCCCCACATTTGGAGATGTGTCTACCCTCCCCTGCCTTGTCCCGTTTCCCCCACTCCGACCCCCAG